TGAAATTTTCTTTTTTTGTTGTGTCTCTGCCATGTTTTGGTATCAGGATGAGGCTGGCCTCATAAAATGAGTTAGAGAGGCATCCCTCTTTTTCTATTGTTTGGAATGATGTCAGGAGGAATGGTAGCAGCTCCTCTTTGTACCTCTGGTAGAATTCTGCTGTGAATCCATCTGGTCCTGGACTTTTTTGGTTAGTAGGCTATTAATTACTGCCTGATTTTCAGAACTTGTATTGGTCTATTCAGGGATTCAACTTCTTCCTGGTTTAGACTTGGGAGGGTATATGTATCCAGGAATTTATCCATTTCTTCTAGATTTTCTAGTTTATTTGCAGAGAGATGTTCGTAGTATTCTCTGATGGTAGCTTGTATTTCTATGGGATCAGTGGTGATATCACCTTTATCATTTTTTATTGTGTCTATTTGATTCTTCTCTTTTCTTCTTTATTAATCTGGCTATCAGTCTATCTAGTCTGTTGATCTTTTAAAAAAAACCAGCTCCTGAATTCATTGATTTTTTTGAAGGGTTTTTCATGTCTCTATCTCCTTCAGTTCTGCTCTGATCTGACTTATTTGTTGTCTTCTGCTAGCTTTTGAATTTATTTGCTCTGTTTCTCTAGTTTTTTTAATGGTGATGTTAGGGTGTTGATTTTAGATCTTTCCTGCTTTCTCTTGTGGGCGTTTAGTGTTATAAATTTCCCTCTAAAAACTGCTTTAGCTGTGTTCCAGAGATTCTCATACATTGTACCTTTGTTCTCATTGGTTTCAAAGAACTTATTTATTTCTGCCTTCATTTTGTTATTTACCCAGTAGTCATTCAGGAGCAGATTGCTCAGTTTCCATGTAATTGTGCAGTTTTGAGTGAATTTTTTAATCCTGAGTTCTAGTTTGATTGTGTTGTGGTCTGAGAGGTTGTTTGTTATGATTTCTATTCTTTGGCATTTGCTAAGTGTTTTACTTCCAATTATGTGGTCGATTTTAGAGTAAGTGCAATGTGGTGCTGAGAAGAATGTATGACTTGTCAGTTTGGAGTGGAGAGTTTTGTAGATGTCTATTTGGTCCTCTTTGTCCAGAGCTGAGTTTAAGTCCAGAATATCCTTGTTAATTTTCTGTCTTGTTGCTCTAATATTGACAGTTGGGTGTTAAAGTCTCCCACTATTATTGTGTGGGAGTCTAAGTCTCTTTGTAGGTCTCTAAGAACTTGCTTTATGAATCTGGGTGCTCCTGTATTGGGTGCCTATCTATTTAGGATAGTCAGCTCTTCTCGCTGCATTGATCCCTTTACCATTATGTAATGCCCTTCTTTGTCTGTTTTGATCTTTGTTGGTTCAGAGTCAGGTTTATCAGAGACTATGATTGCAATGCCTGCTTTTTTTTTTTTTTTGCTTTCCATTTGCTTGGTAAATATTCCTCCATCCCTTCATTATGAACCTATGTGTGTCTTTGCACGTGAGATGGGTCTCCTGAATACAGCACACCAACGGGTCTTGCCTCTATCCAACTTGCCTGTCTGTGTGTTTTAATGGGACATTTAGCCTGTTTACATTGATAGTTAATATTATTATGTGTGAATTTGATCCTGTCATTATGATGCTGGCTAGGTAACCATCATTTTAATAAGTGATATAAAGCTGCTCTTTGGTACAGCATAAAGTTAAGATTTGATAAATCTAGGTAGGGATAATAGGTATTCATTATATTATATATTTTTATTATGAATAATTATTATATAGAACATAATAATACATATATGTACACATAAAATATAGATATATAAATATATAAAAATAATTTCAATATGTTCTTTGGTATTCATTCAATATTATTGGTATCAGTTAAAATAACATTCAAAATTTCTTTATTTTCTTTCTCTCTAGTCAGAGTTTGTAGCTTTGCAGAGCATAGTGCGTTTTAAATTTAACGCAACAAAATAAAACAATGACATAATTTGTAAAAAAGAGATAACATTTTGAGTTTTTAAAAGTACCTATTGTTACTTAAGTGACCACAATCTCAAGTGGTTTTTGCATAAAACCTTTGAGTCCCTGGGACAAAATTTGGCATAGTGGAAATAAATATATCCAACAGTTTTCCTCTGGCATTCTTGATAAACACATGATACATTCTCCCTAGTGAGTTGACATTTCAAGCAAACATGCATCATGATCTTACCCACAAACAGTAGGTTCATACCCCTGGATTTTTTTTTTTTTTTTTTTTG